TAATGAATGTATACATTATACAAGTTTCACTTTTTGAATGGAATTACTGAAATAAATCAACTTTGTGATGATATTCTAATTATATGACCAGCACCTATATATATATGTATGTATATGTATATATACACACTCAGCTTCACAATGTATATACATTGTGAAGGACACACTGATTGTGTGTGATTGTGACTTGTTAAGCTGCGTGTATTGGAAATGTCCCAAGGTAACCTGTTAGACCTCATGTAGATGTGACATGTGCAGCACAGGCACACACATGGATTACAGCAATCATGTTATGGCAACAGAGCCCATAGCAATTACATTACAGCTTACACAGAGTGTTATAATAAGCCTAATGCCCTCTGCGGAGAGAGATTGGAGATTTGACTCTGGCCATGAATACAGACTACATTATGGAAAGAATAGGTGATAAAGGTAGATCTAGAGTAGTTGCTGTTGTTGATCAGCGATACAAACACATTTAACTTCATCTCCAGGGAGGCCTATCTATTACTGTGTCTTTACTGAAAGATTGGAACATGTCTGCATTTTACAAAAGGCACTAAACATTCCAGTTCAGTTCAGATTGACGAAACTACCCTATTGAATACCTTAATTTTCTTAGAGAAAGGATTTGTATGCTTTGTAAAAATGTGAAGTTTAAGTTACAAATATGGCAGACTGTGACATTCTGACAGACTGCATTTGTTCACCAGTAGTTATTCTGTTCTCTTTAATCTTCTGTAAAATTCCCAGTACAAAGCAATACCCACTCTTTCCCGAATTAGCTTCCATGCTTATGTAGTTATTTATTTGTAAATTATATTGATGGCAATTCTCTCATGAATAAAAGATCCCATCTCTGGAATTTTGGGCAACAGGTAACCATGTTTCATGTCCTTACCCTTAACAAGCTTAACTTTACACACTTTGTCTTTTTGTCAGTTTTTGGTAACTGGTCAATTTTTGTGTGAGAACAATAACTAATATCAGGGTTTGGTGTAAGTAAAGGATTGAGGACCCAAATGCAGGACACAAGAGATGAGCTGATACAGTTCTTAAGATTTATTAATAAACAAAAGGTGTACACACGTATTACTGGCAGAGTTCAAGCCCAAAGGAAACAAAGTGATCCAACAACACAGGCAATCCAAAAGAAATGGCAAAATCCATACCACAAGAAAAAGCAGGGGGAACGAACAGACAGAAGACATCACACGACACGTAACACAACAGAGCATGACAAGTTACAATGAATAAAATGTTTGAGAATGTAAAATCTCAAATATTTTCTCTTTTTAGTTTTAAACAAGCTACAAAGCTGTTCCATTGCAAACTGTATAAAGAAATCCACTTATATAATGTATTGAATTGACACTCTGCATGTTGCTTTCTATTTTTTATCCATTCTTTACATGTTCTGCAAGCACAAACTCACTGTCCAACTGTCTCTTTTCTACCTCTGCTCACCTCTACACTTTTTATTTCTCGAACTCATCATTAATGCTTAAAATTAGTTTGTGCGTGATGGTGTTATAAGACTTTTAGTGGGAGGATTTTTAAGGACTCCTGCAGATATTCAGCAGAGCTTGATGACCTGGTCTGTGCATTATATGATAGTAAAATATCCTGTAAATCCTTCCTGATCTACCTGATCATGCCTTGAAAAGCGTTTTATGTGGCTGCCTGTTAAAAGTCTTGACTAGAGGCTCTGACACCATAAAGATTAATTGCCAGTCATCCTGAGAATCTTGTGTGGTTTGTGCATAAAAGGGAAGGAAGAGAAGGAGAAGAGAGATTCATTTACACACACACTCACACACAAATCCAACAACATCACACACAATCGTCAGTGTAAGCGCACGAGCAGGGCAATTTAAAATTACAGCAGGGTACTTTGGTCGTGACACTGTGCGTCCCTGTCATTTTTTGGATGTCCCAGTACCCTGCTGGACAAAACAATGTTTGTTTTCTCGGTCGCATAATTCAGCTTGCTGTTGTCATGGGATTTTTGAATACACACACATACACACATATCCAATAACCACGGGTGGGAAGACACTCTTAAAAGTCAAAGTGCCAGGCACAACACTAAAGCCAGCGAGAGACTTTCAATTTGCATAATCATACTGGTTTGAATGCATGTTCACACACACACACACACATACACACAAGTTACAAAGAACACACGCAGAGGCATTAGGGACTGTTTGTTATTTATGGGTGGGGATTATGCTTTTTATGTTTGGCAGTGGGGGAGGGACAACTTTTAATGGTTGTCTTTTGTATTTATTTTAAATATGTTTTGTCTTTCCAAAATATTAAACCTATCTCTCACCCCTACCTAAACCTCATTGGACCTCACATCCCACCTTATCCCCTCTCCATCACAAAATTGTCAAACATCCCATTTGCACGTGGTATTAAAATGTGATCTGTATCCAGAAATTTATCCAGATAATAAACGATCCAATCTTGCCTTGTGTTTACACCTGGTGTTTTTAATGCATTCTTGTTATCCTGGCTATAGATCTGATCCCTGTCCTCCAGAGCAAAACGTAAAGTTATGTAAGTTGTTTAGTTAGGGGAAACTTTCTGAAATGCCGTCTATGACAAATTCTTCATTATTTATACCCTCTTGTTATTTCGGCAAATATAATAGCCTACATGAAGTTATTCATTTCTTTGTATAAAAAAAAAATTATGTTTATTTTGAAAAACTTCCATTAATATGCACATGCTAACATTGGCTATGTGTACACTGTGGTGTGTGTGCGTGTGACATTATAAGCTTGTGAAATGTTGTTGGGTTTTTGTGGTAAGAGAGGGGGCTGTCATGCGCCCATATTGTGCTGAAGTGCACAGACAGGACCAACAGCTTCTCTGGTGGTGTTGGAGTTTATTTAAATCTTATACAACCAAAAGTTTAGCCTGCTTAAAACATCATTCCTGTACTCTATATTTCAAACCACTCACATTACACAGTCCTCTCTAAAACAATGGCACTTCACCAGCTCTATCTTGAATTTAACTGATGAATTAAAAAGCTTTTATCAACTTTTTACAGCATGAATGTATTTTGGTTGACAAGTGCACTCGTGCAAGCTCACGTCTCTGCAGAAATCTCCGTACAGACTGAGGAGAAGCCACACTGAGCACACTGATGATGTCATCAACAGGATAACATTCAACATAAATTTAAAAACTTCCCAAAATATATATAAACCTTATAAATGATTTTTAAAAATACAGACAATAGTACATTTTTAACAACAGAAAATAAAGAGGGATTTTATGATATGGATATGTATGAGCAAGCGCTCATACACACTCATCAACTTGCCAAAGGATAGTTATCTGCCTGTGACAGCAATGTTCAAATTCATATAGCCTTAGTCAGAAATGACTCACTACTAGTCAAAGTAATAATAATGATAAAATAATAATAGTTGTCAATTAAGTGCCTCACTAAATGGCAACTTAGCAACTCGCTGATGTTTATATGTAAGCCTGCTATATACATTTTATACAAAACTACTGGATGTTTCCAAAACAAAAATTATATATAGACCTTATTAATAATTTTTAAAAAAGTACATTTTAACAACAGAAAATAAAGATTGTTACATATCCACATATGCAAGCCCATGCACAGACACTGTTTCAGGTTATGCATGAGCAAGCATACATACACACTCATCAACTTGCCAAAGGATGGTTATCTGCCATCGCTATCAGCATTTGACATTAGTGGCCTATGGTTTAGCGAGAATAGAGAGTGTGTGTGTGTGTGTGTGTGTGTGTGCGTGCGTGCGTGCGTGTTTTTCTGTCTTACCTGTTTTGGTCACTTATACAGTACATGTCCATTAACTATTGTGTATGTGTGTGCAATTTGAACATCCTATGTGACTCAAATTCAATTTCCACTCGCTGTGTTTAGGTATGTGTGTGTTGTTTGTCAATGAGATGTTTTTTAGGCCTGTTGATGATAGGAGGCCTGTCTGGGAGAGCTCTTCGCCTCTCTTCCTCTCCACCCCTACCTCCTCCCTCGCCTATATTAGCTCCATAAATCCTGTTCTAGGCGGATTGTTATGGTCATTGTGTGTGCTGTGAGCGATGGTTATTATCTGCCTGCTCCGCTCACACTGCTTTATGCGCCTCGCCTGCTCCCCTCCCGTCCCTCTTTCTCACTCTCTTTCTCTCTCTTATTCACATTATATCTTGCTCGCCCTCTCCTATTGCTGTTATTCTGCATCCATGTTCACTCTCTCTCTTCTTTCCCTTATTACTCTACATTACTTTTTTTTCACTTTCATCTCTGTCTCTCATTTTGGTCAGTTCACCTTCTGTCTTTTTCTCCCTGTTATCTCTCTTTTGCTCTTAAGCCTTCACTGCTACTCAGATGTAAGAAGTACAACAGTTGAATCTATAAAGCTGCTGAAAACCTGCACTTGGCAAGTTGCTGATGTAGAAATACACCCATCAGTCAGTCTACATTACAAACTAAGGCTACAGCAGATATCTCATCCCCTAAATTTGTAAGAATGGCTACAGTATATCCTCTGTGCACTGTCACCTAAACATCTGTGAAAGTAAGCTGTCCAGAGAAAGCTGAACTCACCAGTGATAACTGAACCTGCAGTGAGACATGTTCTCTGTCTCCCAACCCCCCAGTCATGAAAAGGTTAGCAGGAAATTCTAAGAGTATCTGGACTGCCACATGAAAAAAAGGGGAGAAAACACAGGAAAAAACGGAAATAACCCCAGTACTGACTGTGACATCAATGTTCAAATTCATATCAGAAATGACTTAATACTAGTCAATATAATAATAATGATAAAAAATAATAGTTATCAATTAAGTGCCTCGCTAAATGGCAACTTAGCAGTTTGCTAATGTTTATTATGTAAGCCTGTAATATACATTTTATATAAAACAACTGGATGTTTTTGTTTTGTTTTTTAATCCGAAAAAGCTATGCTTTATTACTCCCTTCCCACAGGGCCCAGAGCATTGTGTGAAATGCCTCCATTTCAAGGATGGTCCTAATTGTGTGGAAAAGTGTCCCGACGGCCTGCAAGGTGCCAACAGCTTCATCTTCAAGTACGCAGAAGCCAACAATGAATGCCACCCCTGCCATGCCAACTGCACCCAGGGGTAAGTACAGTCAGGACAAGGACTGGTCAATCGTGTGGGGTGGCTATTATGGCTATTACGCCACAAACATACATACATGGAGCACCTGTCATCTTAGATGGTATGAGAGGACGATGACTAATCATTAGGAAAATGAATTGGTATAGATATTTATAATAATAATACACTTTTTGATGGGTAACTTCAATGTTACAGTGATGTTGGTGGTAGTTTAACAGTTTAGAGTTCTGTGTTGCCTCAACTGTTGATAAGTGTATATGTGTGTTATCAGCACTAGCATCCTATCCTAAAAGTAACCTAAATGTCATCTAAATGCCAATGCTAAAGTAATCCGTAAAACTGAATACATGTAAACTTCTACTGCATGACAACACATGACTCTAACTCTATGTAATAGTCAATCTATTGCAATGGCAATGCCACAATTAGCGGTTAAATAAAGTAAATCTGCTCAGATCTTTCATGAAGGAATAAACTTAAGTTGACTTTGACGTGTGAATTCGCACCATTGACTAATTGCAAACTTGACACTGCTGACATGTGAAACGAGAGCCGGAGAGTCCAAAATATATGAAGTGCAATATTAGCAGTTATTGCACCATACAATTTTCTAAAACCCTGCTCTGCTGGAGTCCAAGCTGTTCCACAAAAGAGGCATGGTTTTCAGTCAGCCGTGAGATAGTACAAATACATCTGTTGAATAAACTGTGGTAACTTATTGCTCTTGCTTGGTTGGTTATTGTGAGTATCTGACACTGCCATGTTACTGGTGAGCTCGCCAACCACAGTAGCTTAAAAACTAGCCCTGCAAGTACTCACTATGTCACCAAGCTTCCATCACCAACTGTTGGACATGGACACTCAAATAGATTTCCCTGTGCCACTTTCTGCAGGGACTGGGTACTAATGGAATATTCTTACAAAATCGTCTCATTCTCTTGTTGTTTATTTGGCCGTCGTATGAATAGTCGTCATAGTCACAAATGTTCCCTTTCACTATCCACGTCCAACAAACATAAAATTATAAGAGGCAAAGCATAAAATGAGAGAGAAGAGAGGAAGAATGAAAGTGAGAGGAGTGAGTGAAGTACCTTGCCACTCTCCATTGCACACTGGCCACTGATGGCTCAATGTAATATTCAACAAGGGTTGGTAAGACATCACTTTGTATTTAACTCCACAGGGAGTTTATGTCACATCCTTGCGTGTTATTTCTCCTCTCCTGAGTGACAGCCTCTAGTTCGCTCGACCATAACAATGTTGTCATAAATGGAAAACACCAGGCTGACACTTTGTCATAGGTATAGCTTCATAAGCAGGTCCGCATCTCAAAAAACAGGCTGAAGGAGGGAGAGGAAAGGAAAAGAGATAGACAGAGAGGGACAGAGACAGGGACGAAACCACTTTCCCTTACTTCTAAACATTCAAAAGAGCCACCATTGGAGCTAGCATTGAGCTTGTCAGTATGATGCCACAAGTGCCCAGTGCACATGGGACATTTGAAACACAGGAGGTCTGGTAACAACAGAGATCTTTGATTTTCTTGAGAAGACAGTGTAGCTTTGTAATCCGCCACCCATGTGGACACACTGAAACTCGAAAAGTTCCAGAATAAAGTTGGAGCTGAAGAAGAACTGACAAGGCTTTTGTTCAGAACTCCGTTCACGTTTCAAGTTTTCCCGCAGGCATCAGGAAAACACATGGGTTCGTTGATGTGTGTTTGGCGCTATGCCCATGGCTTTAAAACAACAACATTTGCTTTTACTGTAAGCCTAAAGCTAGATATGAACATAGAAAGCCATCTTGGTCTTTATATATCGCTGTCTTGACGTGTGTCATGTTGACTTTTATAATTGGGTTGAGATAGAGATAGAAAGAGACGGAGGAAAGGAGACCAAAAGAAATAGTGAAATTTCACGTCTTTGCACTACTTCAAAGTTTATGAGAAAAAGACGAGTAGATATTGTGATATAGCACTTTCCATCGTCTCCCTGGTACTCATACATGTTTAAACACACACAGAGCAAGAGACATTGTATGTTTTTATTTGATGGATCATTAAATTGGGGTGACATTAGCTCAGTCCATGGGGACTTGGTTTGGAAACCGGAGGGTCACCAGTTCAAGACCACTGCTGAACGAGCCCATCACAAGGCCCTGAACCCCTAACTGCTTCCACACAATGGCTGTCTACTGCTCCTAATTAGGATGGGTTAAAAGCAGACAACAAATACCGGATGCCATTGTAGCATGCATGTTGCCAGTAAAGTTGAGTATTGATTATTAATTGACTGATGCAAAGTACTGCATTTCCGTTCTAGTAGAATGTACTCAGATTCACTGTTGAGCAAACGCCTTTACAGACAGATTCCCATTTTATGTCAGTGTTACTGTACAGTCATCTTCAGAGCTTTTACCACGTGAAACCACCCAGCCACAGCCAGATAACTCAATACACATGAAAAAGAGAAAAAAAAGGCAATACGTTCCAAATTATGGTTAACTACATTGTTGATAAATTTCAAAATGGCTCATTTATAGTAGCACTTTAGTTTGTCATTTCATTCCATATGAAAAGCTGGGATGTGCAGCAGATAGTATATGTGTAGGTGTAGTGCAGAGAAGAGCCACCCATTTATAAAACACACTCATTGCCTATCCAAATATATTATGTGCTAGGACCACAGGATGAACTCGTGGCGTGAAAAGGGTTTTTACTCTAACCATTAGTTACTGTATTGCTTTGTTCAACTCACTACAAGGTCTCATCATTCTCAGATATTCCAAATATATTCATATAACTATGAATGTTGTTTGTTTAACTTTTTGCTTGTCCTGTATTTGTTTACTTAGGTGCATTGGACCAAGACTGCAAGACTGTATTGGCTGGATGGACAGGTAGAAACTGCTTTTCAGTGGATTGCCTCTATACTTTAGCATACAAACACACCGACACAGCAGCACACACCATGTACACACACACACACACACACACACACAAGCAAAGTCTCTGATTAATGACTAGCTCTAAGGCCCAACATCCCTGTGAGTGTCCTTAATACCTCTCTGTACATTTGTGTGTGTGTGTTTGCGTGTGAGTGTGTGTACGAGCAGTTTGCCTGATTCTTGATAAATTGATAGCGCTTTAGCTTTTGTTCTGATGCTGGGGGGGGATTTCATAAGAGTAACTGTTTGACATCAAGTGGTGCTAAGACTTGGGTGGTGTTCAGGGGATGGTTTTAAAAGGCTGAAAAGCACAGTGAGCAGCCAACACTACATTTACAGGTGGGTCTGTACATCTACAGTAGAACACTGCCAACAGAGCAAGAGACAATGTGTGACTTTAAATTCAGACCATCAGAAAAATGGAAACACATTTAGACTATCTAGCAGCATAGCAGGATGCTGCCATGGTGGCTTTTCATAAGAAGGGCCATATAGTTACATAACAGACAATCTGATAACCTTTTAGTAAGTAATTTACTGATCAATATCGAGTGAGAGTTTTTACGGAGGCCAATAGATGCTGACGGAGATACCTATAATTTTGGAGAAAAAATGTCAGGCCTTCTAGAGAACTGCTCAAAATCTAAACTTCTTCTCAGTCTTTGGAACACTGCCAAGAAGATGAAGAGGAACTGCAGCAGACGGGGAATGTAGCTATCAGCTGACCTGGTGAACAGATCAGCCCTTATCAGATCTCCGATAGCTGCGGCTAGGATACAGCCGAAACACCCAGCTAACCCCGGGCTTAGCTGCCTGCTCTGAGGTGTCACACATCTTGTAAATCTGTTACCTGTTGGCTGTATTGGCGTTTGAGCACGGCTGAAAATGGCTTATCAGAAATACATGATTACACTAAGCCTTCAAAGACCATCGTTCCACCTGGCATTAACGTGCAGCGTGCGTAGGATTTGTGTTCATATCTGATTAAGCTGGATTAATCACTTCCTGTCACTTACTCAGGTAATATTCAGCCTGATAAGATTGACAGGTATTGCCTCATCTAACATGTTCCCATTAAACAGTAGCTTTCCCATTTAATTCAAAATGATCAGAGCTGCCTTTTGTCTGTGTTCGCTGATTGGCTCCTCGTGCATGCATTTTTAGATTCTGATCTAAAATAGTGGAGAAACATTGTATTTAATGTGGTAGAATAATTTTTTTAATTTTTGATTTGTTAGAATCTCTGTAACAATAGCTCTCTCTATTGGCCATTATGTCCTCTTGGCAGACTTATTTTGTTCGGGCTCTTTACCATCACATGTTATGACACCCCAAAATAGTGATTTTCTCCAAGTGTAATCCAAAGAGAACGATTTGGGGCAGATACAGAGTGTGACTGATTTTATGGGCTGTATCCTTGCAGTCTGTCCTTACAGTCCCGAATAACAGTCTTGGTCCGCTTTGACCATATGATGTTCTTTCATTACTGCAAAAAGGGTGGGCGTGGGGGGTGGGGTATACTGGAGAGCTAATTCTTCCTGCTCATTTCTGCAGCAACTCTGTAGACAGTCTGGGGAACATATCAGGAAAATAATAATTGAGAGGCTTGATTTTAAATGACAGTGTCGGTGTGGTGCGGAGAATTCACTTTGATGGTTATTTCCATGTTTTTGATCTCAGTCTCGATTTTAATGAGAGGGCATGGAGGGATATTTGTTACCAGATGAAATTTAGTGGAATTTTTTTTTTAGGGATTGCCCATTGATTTTTTTTTGTGATTTTGTTTATTTGCATGCTTGTTTGTGTGTGTGTGTGTGTGTGTGTGTGTGTGTGTGTGTGTGTGTGTGTGTGTGTGTGTGTGTGTGTGTGTGCGCACGGGCGCATGACAGTATAAACATGATGCTGACTTCTGTCTATTTGGCCTCATCTTCTGTCAACATCTCTGTCCTCCTTATGATAATCTTTCTTGCTTTCTCAATGCCCTCATCCGCTTCTGTCTATAACACCTACTCATTTTCCTCCTTCTTTTGCCCCTTCCACTTTCTTGTTTTCAGAACTCCTCTGATTGCAGCAGGGGTGATTGGCGGCCTCTTCATGGTGGTGATCATGGTGCTGAGCGTAGCGGTGTCTGTGCGCCGGAAGAACATTAAGAAGAAGAGAGCCCTCCGTCGCTTCCTGGAGACAGAGGTGAGCAGGGCAGTAGATGAAAAGCATATAGCGAGAAGAGAGAAATCACTGCCTGTAGCACTGGAAGATAATGTTGTCAGAAGACTGTGCATAACTAAGAATCAGAGGACAATGCTGACAGTTGGTACTTTCTTTACTTTAGTAAATTCAAATTGAGCCTAGCACAGCTAGGCCTTAAGCAATCTAGTTGCAACCCAGTATAAACCTTTAATATTGGCCAAAGAGTTTGTCATAGCTTAGGGTTTACAGAATAAAAAGCATTAAAAGCATAGTGGAAAAATACGAGGTGAAAAATTAAAGGAACATGGACATCATTGACAGTCTATGCAAATATTCCTTTAGTTCTGGAAGAACACAGGATCAAAACACAGGACATTCCTTAGGACTTTTGTCTGAACTTGTATGACTACATTGTCTGTATGTGTTTGCGTATGTGTGCCCTCGTAGCTCATAGCTTTGGGCACCTACTATATAAAATGAGAGAAAAGTCAGACTGAAAGAAAGAGAAAAGAGAATGAGACTTTATGTGTCCAGATGGTGACTGCGGAGGTGGACAAAGTGTCAGAAACTGAGAGGCTCAGGTGTTGTTTGCTATACTGGAGGGGACACTTCTGCTAGGAGGAGGTACCATCAGAAGAGGAGAAAGCACTCTTCCTCTATGTTAAAACAAGAAGAGTACATCATCTAATGCACTTGTATTTCCATAGTGAGAATAAGGTCTTGTTTCACTGCTTTCTCTCTCTCAGAGCACACAAGCATCAGTGAAGTGCCTTCCCTGATAGCTATAATGATAAAACCCCACTGATGTGGCTTATGAATATACTTCTCTCACATATGGCCGATACTTACACTTACACTGTTTCTTCATCACTTATATGTGTCTGTTTTTGACACAATCCTGGCTGCACAAGTGTTACGATATATTACAGAAGCATTCTTGTACCACATTATAGCTATCAAAGAAGCACAAACAAGAAGTCTGCTGTCATTCTTAATGTGAGAATAGAATGTGCTACAAACATTTTAACTAACTTCCAAAATAAGTGCATTTCATTCAAAATGAAGTATGTGGTAGATATAAGAAACTACTTTTTCACTGAGTGATCCGAGGAGCTATGAGGAAATTAACAGGCCTTTACCTTTCTGCAATGGTATCTCACTAAACTAACTCTGCCTAAACCATCAAGCTGTTTAAAGTTTCACAATAAAAATTATGAATAATGTATGCAAGTAATGCATTGATGTTTTCTCGTCATTATGTTGCCAGTTGTTAGATGTGTCTCATTATAGTAAAATTATAACAAGAAGTAAATAGTTTGTGTGACTACACATTATTTGGTTTGGTTTCAGCACTGCCTTGTAGGGTGAGAAGGTGGACAGCTCCTGTGTGCTGTACTGTGGCTGCTACACAGCCTCAACATCTTCAGCTCCACTAATGCTGGACAGCTCCCTGCACAGTGGAATAGCATACAGCAGTGTGTGTGTGTGTGTGTGTGTGTGTGTGTGTATGGATGGATGACTTTTAAGATGTCTGTATTGCCTTGTGTGTATTTGTTTGTGTTTGTGCTTGTGTGTGGCCCCCACCCTGCTCATTTCCACCCTGCAGAAGCTGATTTGTTATTCCATTTAAATGAAGAATGGCTATTGTTTTTAATCAAATGGTAACCATGAGCCAGAGGGACAGAAGCTGACGACCACAGCCAGGCTGATTTACACTCTCTCTCTGTTTTCCTCTCTCTGCCCTTCCTCCCGCTCTAATCTTCCACTCTTTTTTCCTAATTCTCCTTATATTGCTCCCTCTCTTATGCTTTTGCATCCTCTGACTAATTCAGCTACATGCTTCTCCAGCACTGTCTTGTTGTTTCTGCTACAGTTCCTCCCACTCTTCATCTTCTTCCTCCGTCCCTCTCCTCATATAATGTTTCTCCCTCTCTTGCTGTTAAATCTGTTCGTTCCTCCACTTGAGCGGTAATGAGACAACAAAAGTGTCAGCTCCTTTTCCGGCTCCACAATTATCCCCCTCCCCCACCTCTGTCTCTCGTTCTTCGTCCGCCTATCTCGTTCTCCCTCTTCTGTTCACATTAAATATCTCACTTGTGACATTGAAATGGTAATGGCACCCCAGGGTTTGGGATATGTCATTGTAACCCTACTGTTACCTAAAGGAATGGGCAGTTAAGACAAGGTGTTTTGAAGCGAACCCCATAAGATTAACAGGTCTCTAAAGTAATTGCAATTTTAATTAGATAGAGGATATATTGCATTCAAATTACACTATTTTAAGAAAAACATCTTTTAGTCATAATTGCAAGTAACTCAATAGTAATTTCACAGCATGAGTTCCTGGAAATTAGGTCACAGTTTTAAGAAACAGCCTTTTTTGCTTTTATTCAAGATGCATTCTTGTAAATGGTGAATTGTCCGTGTAAAATGTACTTTTTCACTTAATTGAGGTATGTTAGGTGACCTTCTCCTGAAAACGGTTTTATTAAATCTTCCTGGACATGTGTATACATTTGAACAAAGTGTTTTGTGTTCCCATGATACTACAACTAAATTGTATATGATATTAGATATCCCATGAAAAATCATGAATTGCTGGTGGAAAGGATTGTACATCTCCTTATAGGGAGCTTTGGTTATGGTGTTTTGGTTAAAGTACCCACTGATTTAATGAATTTGGTGTTACTGTATGTCTTTTTAGCTGGTGGAGCCCTTAACACCCAGTGGAACAGCACCCAACCAAGCCCAGCTTCGTATCCTGAAAGAGACAGAGCTCAAAAGGGTCAAGATCCTTGGTTCTGGGGCCTTCGGGACTGTTTACAAGGTAAAACGCACAAAAATACGATTATTGTAACTGCATGTGTTTCAGTTGGTGCTTTGCCAAATAAATTAATGTAATCCTAAATGTGAGTTTTTGAAAAAAAGAAAGAGGAAGACAAGAGAGACACATTGTAGGATCATTAATGATAGGAAATGAGATGCAAGGCTGGAGGCGAGCGATGAAAAGAATAAGTAATAGCAGACACTGAGACCCCTGGGGTTACAGTGAAATAAGAGGTAGCTGAGGTCACCACCAGTGTGATGAGGGGTTGGGGAGAACTGACTCTCTCTCACTGAAACCAACATTGGTCATTTTGTAGATCCATCCATTCACATTAAACCACATTTTTGGGTCAGAGGCATGGTAGCAGGAGCACAGATGTCCTTTTTCAAAGAAGAGTCTTGCACATTTCCCTGGGGGATCTCCAGGCTACTCTAGGCATATAAGAATATGTAGTCCATATAAGAATATATAGTCCATTCAGAGTCTCATGGGTGAGTCCTAGGACCCAGACAGATTTCCTTGGTAGCCAGAAGACATCAGAAAGCAACTTAAATTCTCTCAGGGTTAAGGCACATTTGGTTGATGCTGAGATCCTCCCAGGCAGTCAGCAGAGCAACCTATCTTTAACAGCTTGATTGCATGATCTTATTATTTCAGGCACAACTCGGAGGTCATTGCTAATGCTGTCAGCATTCAGATCAACTTGTAAACTGAGTGTTTTGCTTTGCTGCTCACCTGTCTTTTCACCAAAATACTTCAGTTTAACTATTACATGAACTACCACGCTTACCCTGTAGAGCTTTTTCATGTTTCAGTGTAACAAGATGCCGAGCCTAAAAATGGCATTTACCTCATAGATTGACCTGGTCTGTTAATGGAAATCAGGGCAATATGATGTCCCTTTGTTTCACGAAAGTTGGTAGCAGTAACTTGTCAAGAAACATAGCAAAGCCTCTGCAAATGTGGGTAGCTGATGCAAACAACTCAGGTTTCAAAAATATGTATTGTTTTTGCAAATGTTAAGAGGAATGAGCATTTTACAAAGAATAAAGTGCATAATAGGTTTTGGTGAGAAACACTGAATGTAACCTACGTATGTTTGATTGCTTCACAGTAGATTTAAGAGGTAATCATTTCTTTTTTACCATCACTTGTTAGACCCTAGGGCTCTTCCACCTGGGACATCTGCTCACTCCTCACTCCTGGAAGAGAACAATGTGCTTAGATTGGGAGGTGTTAACCGACATTTCACATTGACCTGCAACACAATCTGGTTATATTGGACATATTTTCCATTCAGATAGCATAAAAGGAAAAAAACATGTTTTGGGAAATTTAAAAATAGTCCATACAACATAACAATCTCTGCCTGGGGCACTCTGTAACAACATGTCACCTTGTTTTGCAGTTTCAACTGTAGGCCCCCATTTAGGACAATTAGTGAGATTTTGGAAATGGTAGAACACATTGAGGTGCGTTATTCAGCTACAGAAATATCGCTGATGTAAAAAAACAATGACGTGAATGCAGTTCACTTTAAAAAATAACTACAGTGCACTCTGAATGATAATCAACTACACAAGTGCAGGTAGAAAGAAGTTTCCAAAGGAGGCATCACATTGAAAATTACAGCTTTGAGAGGACAGGTATTTGGATTCTATGAGAAGATGTGTTGGGCCTGCTGTCACTGGGGGTATGTAGTCACATCAGAGCAGAACAAAGGTGGGACACATTTGGAAAAAGTTGAGAGGCACTTGATTTCTGTCCTCTTTTAAATGCTTTGACCACGTTGGCAGCTGCTTAATCACTTTAATCCCACCTGAAATTAGACACTTCAAAATGATTAAATAGTTTTGCCCATGTCTTTTTGAAGGACAAAATCACTGTTAATCATAAAGCATGCAGAACATACCCATACTTTCGCCAGTGAGAAAATGGAAGACGGTTATTAAGAAAGCTGACAACATAGAATTCAGGATGAAAAATGCTCCTGTTTAACATCTTTCTTTTAATAAAATGTTGGTGAGTGGGAGTTTTGTGACTTTTCATTGAATAGAAGGACTCAGCATCTGTTTTTGTGTGTTTCTTTAGGGTATTTGGGTCCCAGAGGGTGAAACAGTGAAGATTCCTGTAGCCATTAAAATCCTAAGTGAGGCCACAGGACCCAAGGCTAACGTGGAGTTCATGGACGTGAGTATCATGAAAACGTGAAAGTAAAATAGTGGAAAAAATCAAATCAAGTTTTTAAATGTTTTTCCATTGATAATGTTCCTTCGGCTGAAATCTGACAATAGTTTGAAACTGTAGACAGAACATTTTTACAATAATGTGCTACTTTCTCAAGTTATATTTTGTTGTATAGAAGTATTTCAAGCTGTCAGCAGTCCGTCCAGCACATACAACATATACCTATCAGGGCATTGTTGCTACAACAACACATACTGTAGTTATGTGTTGGGATATGACCATCTTCAAAGCACTCATCAGAAGACTGAAACCACTTTTCAGTCATGTTTAAAAGAAAACTTACACATAAGCTCTGTTGGTGAAATGAAGCTATTAAGAACTCAGTTTCAACCCCATTGACACCAGAATGGAAACCATCAGGGGCCCCCAGGACCCCTACATACACACACATCATGCCACACGCTCCCAGCACAGTGCACAAGGCCCCGTTTATAAAAGATTCACAGCTCGACTCATTTCAAAAGGAAAAGTGAAGGGGAAAAAAATCTAAATTATTACCCTGTGATGATGCAATGCAGATGAAATAATTCCCATCAACACACATACACATGTAGACACAGGCACACACATTGAAAGCGACCCAGTTGCACTCATGTTTTGCACTTAGTTTGACAGTCTAAGAGGAAGAGTTTTGGAGTGTTAGCATTTCTATTTTTATCAGGATGTCTTTGATGAATATCCTACGTGTGTTTGATTTAATGTCCTGCGTGCTTTGAGGGCCTGTCTAAAAATCAGAGAACCAGATATCAGCAATGAAAGGGCAACATATAGAGAGACAAGAGGGTGTACTGTATATAGAGGGATATAGATGTAGGATGATAAACAATTAATATGCATGTACTAGAATAAAAAACATGCAGTTACACTCTGTATATCCCTGTGTGTGCGTACCGTGACACAAAGTCAGCTTCTCACACCCAGCCAGCACTTACTCAAATGGCTTGTATGACCAAATTTGCATGCATTGCTAAAGATGCTCTTTTATAGTGCATGCTTACAGTTGTTGTGAAGAAAAGAGGAAAATTCACCAATTTTCGACTGAGGGTTTGTGGGTTAGGCATTTACATGGGATTTTTATAATTACAGAAGCAGTGATAGTGTTAACAAATCAGGTTGCATTAGTGATGGCAATACCTAATGTAACTGCCTTTTAAGCAAAATGCACTGTATGCAGCAGACTCCTCAACTTGTCTTAAAGGAAACTGCAGGGGAGACGGAGCATGTGTTTGGGTGAGCAAGAAGCAGAGAGTTGAACTAAAGTAAAACTAATAATAATCAAAGAGTCAAACACAAATTCAAAGCAAATTTATTTACGCTTGGTGTATTTATGTTGTATTTCTCCCAGTAAAAATCATTTGAGTTAGATCTTATTTTCCAATGATACCTTACTTCTCATTTATCCATTTCCACAGTCGTCTTCTTCTATTCTATTGCAGTGGGAGGGGGGCTCACTTTCTGCTCCAGGGAACATCAGTGGTAGTTACAGAGTGAAAGGAGAGTGCCATTCATTTACTTTACCCATGCATATTTACCCAGCCGGGAATTCTGGCTGCTGACCTTCAAGCTGCAGGCCACACTCACTTGCCACTGACGGTTTGAAGAATGTCACTGAGGATTGATTGTCCTTTAGTCTGCGTGGGTGTGTGCATGTGCGTGTGTGTGTGTGTGCATGTGCGTGTGTGCGTGTGTGTGTGTGTGTGTGTGTGTGTGTGTGTGTGTGAAGTTTGTACCTGTGGAGTGCTCAGAGGAGGGAAGCTTCTCGCCATGAAGCAATGAAATGGGCCAAAATGTTTGCAACAAAAAGGCAATCCCAGCATGAATGTCATGCATGTACATGTATGCACGAGAGTAAGAAAGAGTGTGTGTGTTTGTGTGTGCGTGTACTCATAATACACACGCTAAAGGCAGACAGAGCATGCTACAGTACGTTATTCCTTTTGAAAGCCAAAAATCATGCTCAAGGCTTGTTTTCACTGAAACAGAATAAACCCTTGTGGTCTGTCCTTGGAAATTACATTCTGTAATTCTGTTTCCCCTGTGGATGAAGAAGATTATCTTCTGTTCTTTTCATTAATGTTTTGCTCAGTAATTATTCTATATGAGTATTAAACAGACTCCAAGTCCAAATCCAAATCGAGTTTATCAACACAATACAAACATACAAAATTTTGATAAGCCACAATAATGTGCCTTATTTATAAAGCACCTCTTAAAACAAAGTTGCACAGTTTGTTGAATACATATTGAATACTTTATTGCCAAGTAGTATTTTACATGTTCACTTAATTTACTTTGATGATAAGGTACTACACGTGGACAAACATACAGTTGACATAAATAAATTTAGAAATATATAAATATGGAATAAACAGATGCAAGTTATATAAGAATGCTAAAATTCCCGGGTTTGTGTTGTGCAGACATATTGCAACGGCAGAGGATATATATAATAAATATATAATTGACAAAATATAAAAATATAATTAACAACATAGATAATAACAACGATTAACAATTAACACAAAGAAAAACAAATATGTGTAATATGCCAGGTTTGTGCATGATATGAAATGAAATTAAATAGTATTTACACATGAAGAGACATTTGTATTATTTGAAAGTGGGGAGTGTCAGCGGGGGGCCCGGGCCTTATTAATGAGGCTACCAGCAGATGGGAAGAAGCTGTTTTTGTGGCGAGAGGTTTTGGTCCTGATGGACCGCAGCCTTCTGCCAGAGGGAGGAGTCTGAAACAGTTTGTGTCTGGGCGGGGGGGGTTCAGCTGCAATCTTTCCTGCTTGCCTCAGAGTCCTGGAGGCGTACAGGTCCTGAAGAGAAGGAAGATTTCAGTCAATAACCTTCTCTGCAGAGCGAATAATTTGCTGCAGCCTGCCTTTGTCCCTGGCAGTGGCAGCAGCATACCAGATGGTGATGGAGGAGGTTAGGATGGACTCAATGATGGCGGTGTAGAAGTGCACCATTATTGTCTTTGGCAGGCTGAACTTCTTCAACTGCTGCAGGAAGTACATCCTCTGCTGGGCCTTCTTAGTGATGGAGGTGATGTTCAGCTCCCACTTGAGGTCCTGGGAGATGATGGTGCCCAGGAAGCGGAAGGAGTCCACAGTGGCGACTGGGAAGTCACACAGGATGATGGGGGAGGGTGGGGCTGGGCTCTTTCGGAAGTCCACGAATATCTCCGCTGTCTTCAGAGCGTTGAGCTCCAGGTGGTTCTGGCTGCACCAGGTCACGAGATGGTCGATCTCCCACCTGTAGGCGGACTCAACCCCACCAGAGATGAGCCCAATGAGGGTGGTGTCATCCGCAAACTTCAGGAGCTTGACGGACTAGTGACTGGAGGTGCAGCTGTTGGTGTACAGGGGGAAGAGAAGAGGGGAAAGAACGCAGCCTTGAGGGGATGGTCCTAGAGTCAGAGACAAGCTTTCCCATCTTCACGTGCTGCTTCCTGTCTGTCAGGAAGTCTGTGATCCAACTACAGGTGGAGTCAGGCACGTTCAGTTGAGAGAGCGTGTCTTGCAGCAGGGCCAGGAATCAGAGCTGAAATCCACAAACAGGATCCTGGCATAGGTTCCTGGGGAGTCCAGGTGCTGGAGGATGAAGGGCCATGTTTACTACATCATCTACAGACCTGTTGGCTTTGTAGGCAAACTGCAGGGGGTCCAGGAGTGGGTCTGTAAAGTGCAATTTATACTTCTGCATCAAATCGACTGCGTAGCCCCCTACCATATGCCGTCACATACGGCGTAGCCTGAAGTCCACCTCCTCAAAAATGTAACTACACGTCAAGTCGGCGCGGACTGTAAGCTCTGTGATTGGTCAGCTGGGTAGCCTCACAATGCCTCCGAGCCGACAGGAAGTGCCCGTGCTTTGAAGTAACTTTTACTAGCGGCCAAAACGGCGGCTATAACACAGTGGATCGATATTCACAACCAGAGCGAAATGACTTGTTTCACTATCAGGATGTGATCCATTTGGTTGATAACATTTGAAAATGCTATACCAGCTGCTCTTTTACAATTTTACCCCCATTCACATTAGCGGAGGGCTAAACCGGAAGTTAGCTGCTCAGCCGGTAAAAGTCAACACAGTGGACGCTGTAGCGCTACTGCCGACTGGCGTTTGGGGGTGTTATTGCAGAATGACAGACACACGGACGCACAAGTATAAATGCCTGGCTACGTGCATAGCCTATGGCGTAGCTACACATGTAGACACTACACAAGAGTATAAATCAAGCTTAATGGATTTAAGGTGGAACAACACCAAGGCACTCAAAAGATTTCATTACCACAGATGTCAGGGCAACGGGTCTGTAGTCATTTAGTCCGATGGTCCTTGGTTTTTTGGGGACAGGGATGATGGTGGAGGCTTTGAAGAAGGCTGGCACATGGCATGTCTCCATTGAGGTGTTAAAAATGTCTGCGAACACCGGAGACAGCTGATCAGCACAGTGCTTCAGGGTGGATGGGGAGACACAGTTCGGCCCAGCTGCTTTGCAGGGTTTCTGCCTCCTGAATAGGCAGTTGACTTCCCTCTCTGAGATGGAGAGGGGGGGGTGGGGGTGGGGGTGGAGCTGGCCAACTCTGAGGAGAGGGAGGAGGGGAAGGAGGGGATGGTGGACTGGGGCTAGAGCTGAGTAGATGAGTCGCGGGGGATGGTGTCCGATCAAAGCGGCAGTAGAACTGGTTCAGCTCATTTGCCAGGCGAGAGTCATTGATGGAGTGAGGGGCTTTGGGTTTGTAGTTAGTGATCTGTCTGGACTCCCTCCAGACAGAAGTGGTGTCATTTTCAGAGAACTGGTGTTTAAGTTTCTTTGAGACGTTTAGCTTCTCACACCTCCTTGCTAAACCTGTACTTTAACGGCCTGCACCCGGCCCTGTCTCCACTGCTAAATGCCTTCTCCTTTTCCAGCCTTAACTGTCTGAGCTGAGTTGTTCCCCTGATGTTCATGAGCTCTTCTCTGGTGAAAGAGCTCCGGGAATCACAGCCGAAAACTGAATCAACAACAGAATCAAACAGCAAAACAGAGCGCACCTAACGCTGAGGCAGCTATACGCAGCGCAGTCTTGGTTTTAAATTTATAAAAAATTACAAGAGTAAAAAGATCTTTTATTTTATTATGTTTAACTTAGTTGTACTTTTGTTATGTGAGCCTTTTTTTTCCCATCTAGTGACAGGTTTGAATCTATATAACGTGAGCCCCTTAATTTAAAAACGACTGTACTTTAAAGAGTTAAGACATCTCGGTAAATGACATCACAGTGATAAGGGTGCCCTGGAGTTATCCAGATTTACTTGAAAGGGATCTTGCCAGTGCAGTCAAAGAGCAGGCATACAGAAAGGCCCAGTCTGATTTATCATCATTCTTACTGTACCATATGTGCTGCCATCCCTGGACATCTCCAGCACATGAGCAGAGATCTGATTATGCTTAAGTGTGGTGATGCATGAGCCATATACTGACTGGGATGTGGTTGTATCTCTTTGTCAGTGTTCAGTGGACCTCACACACTATGTATCTGTCTCTCCCCAACACACACAACCACCTCGACCTTTGTTGTGTATTTCTTCAACAGAGCTATCCATCTCATGATGAATAGTCATATTAACCCATAGCTCCTGTAGTCACAGTGCGTGTGTGTGTGTGTGTGTGTGTGTGTGCATTCATGTGTCTTGTGTAACTACATAGCTGCACAGAATAGATGACGGTCTATTCTTGTCTTTGCTGGTGTTTCTGTATCATTTGAATAATAAGTTGTGCATGCCTGTATACAATCATATGCAATATTTCAAACTAATATACAACATTTGCTCTTGTTCTAAAAATCCCACACATTAAAGGTGTTGACACTACAGGCAAGTTCAAAGCTGTATAAATAATGTAATGGAGCAGCTTCTTCCTATGTACATATTTTCTATACATATTGTCTAATAGCTATGCAAGGAAGGTAAAAACCATAGGGCAACTAGACTTGGTTGAAGATACTCAAATACATTTTGCCCCTCATTCAAGAGACCTCCAGTTCTAGTATTCGAGTATCTTCAACCAAGTCCAGTTGCCCTTGATTTTAACCTTCCTTGGATAACTATGACCTGGATGACTGAGAACCTTCACAGACATATTGTCTAATAGCAACACTTCAGACCAAACTTAGTACATTTCACAACTCTTACTGTTTATTATGTCATTATAAAAACAGAGACGCGTGATTTACAATGGTCTCACCTTGGTTTATTTACTACATTTTTAGTCTACTACAAAGCATGCTGACAGTCTTGTGAAGCAGCGAGTTACTTTGATGTCGAGGTTTTGAATAAAAATGTACTGCTTCTGACTTGAGCCTTATACTGAATAAGGCATCCTATGTTCTTTGACAGTTCAGTCTACACTAGTAAACATGATGAACTCTCTGCCAAAGTCTTTGAACCTTTACTTTGGCATTTGTCTTTTGACGCTAACTGGAAGATTACCTGTTTGATATGAACTTGGTACTTAAATGAACATATATCCATTTTCTTGTGCTTGATTAATGACATTCTGATCATGCACAATCCAGTTAGATGGCTTAGAATAGATCATAAACATTCAAACTATGCAGACTTGCTGTCTTTATTTATATGATTTTTGAGGAGATTATTATGTGTTATTCTGTCTGTTAATAGAGCTATGTAATAGGATCTCAAGGGCCCATGTACAGCTTAATCCAAATACTGACTGGGGTGTTAAAAAAAAACTTTTCTTATAATATATATATAATATTTAGACAGAAATAACCTGAAAGTGATGTATTTTCTGGTGTGTTTTGCTTGAATTTGTTGGCAGTTGCCTAAAGTGAACAACACTGTAGAATCTGTTCAAGGTCAAACTCCATCCCCAACACTTTCCCCCACATGCCTGAGTGTATATCTGTCTCATTCAGGAGGCCCTGATCATGGCTAGCATGGAGCACCCCCACCTGGTCCGCCTGCTGGGCGTCTGCCTGAGTCCAACCATCCAGCTGGTCACACAACTGATGCCTCATGGGTGCCTGCTTGACTATGTCCACGAGCACAAGGACAACATCGGATCCCAGCTGTTGCTCAACTGGTGTGTCCAGATTGCCAAGGTAAGGATGGAAAACGTTGCTAGTTAGTTGTTTTAGCCGTATGGTTGGTTGGTTGGTTTGGTGATTGGCTGGTTGGCAGATTAGTGAATGGTTATTTTTAGTATCGACAGATAATTTTTAACAGTTGGATCATCTTCATTGATTGCTGATTTTTTGCTGCCATGTCTGCTGCACCAAATATTTAAATCAAATATCACGTGATGATTTGGAGAGTTGGAGAGCCATTGAACCCTTACTGGAACTCTAGTGGAGACTGTGGGTCCACAGGCTTAATGTCACTATTTTATCAGTTAGAACTGAGAAATTTCTCTTTCTCACTAGCTCTATTTTTCTGTTGTGCATGTATGATAATACTTCAAATGTTTCTCTCTTCCCTTATATGCATTAGGTTGTTGCAGGCTGCTATCCATCCTTTCCCCTTTTGAAATCTTACTGTATAAGTACTTGTGTCTGCTTTGAATTATATAGGCTGTACACACAAGAACTGAAACACCCTTACCACCTTTTATAACGTGTTTCAGCTAATAGATGGCAAGTGAATTACTACATTGCTGAAAAGTAGATGTCTGTGGTTGTCTATAGTAAATGTATGCGAGCCAGGGACAAAGACTGGATATTTGTGTCCGTCAGTGTGTACTGGTGTGTGCGGAGGATTCAACAGCAGACAACGGCGCCCCTTTGCAGCCTCTCTGGAGAACCGAAGTAAATAATTCAAAGCCTTGCTTGACTTTAGGTGGGGGAAGTGTGGAGTGCAGGGAGCTCATGGATGTAGGACTGAATTATAATTCGAACACAGATGACCACAGAGTTGAATCAACATGTCTCTGACAGAGTACAACAACACCTGCATTATAACAACATATAATCTATTTAGTCATTATTAAAATTATATTTGATTGAAGTATACCTGCTGTATTATAAAATTATATTTCCAACATGTTGCGTTTGATAGATGGCTGATAAAATTGTCATACACAGAGATAAAAGTTACTGATTAAAAAGCCAAGAGAAGCAGAATGAAAATGACTCAGCAATCGCTGCAGTCCCAGATTTAATATCTTAGACAAATATTTCTGATGCCATTTTTGGCTAAATCACAGGAAGGCGCAGTACTCCATGGAAAATATTAAACCGTCAATTAAACTTTGGACACAGTTAACGATCATACAATACCACACAAAGTGCTTTATTTTTAATACCAAAGGCTATCAGAGCATGTATTAGGTCTCGCTGACAAACATCCCACGCTGTGTAACAAATACTTTCATTGTATGAAATTAATCACACAAATAACTTTGCGGGAAAAGAATATAGTGTGGCTGTATATGACTAAAGATAGGCTGGCTGTGAACAGTTGTCAACATGGAGAGATGTATAATTCATAAAGGGTAAATATTATTTATGTATTATTTATCACTGTTATTGTGTGTCTCAAGTCTGTTTAGTTTAGTGTTTTTAATTATTGGATACAGCTCCTGGGGACTCAACAGGGGCCACAGTTAAAAAGGTGCCCACAAATGGGTTCATCTTCACACAAACACAAAGTGTCCTTCACAATGGACTTGTCTGAGTGATGTTGACGGGGTGAACTGGGACACTTTCCCTGATACCATCAACACCCCTATGTGTAGCAAGTGACAAGCCTTCACTCTCTGAGGCCTCATCCCTGTGGCCCTCCCACTCTGTCATGGCCGTCACCACAGTCATTGATTATTAATGGAGTGATCTGCCATGAAAGTCATACTAATGAGCAGATTCATTAGAGCTACTACGCATGTAGGGCTCTGATGCCACAGAATGTTAAATTTTTTTCCTCGGAACTGATTGTTATTATCCTGATATCTTTACATATCTCCTTATTATAACCTACTGTATTACTTCCTCCTCATTATGTCTGCTTGCTTTTTAAAACTCACACACTCTGTGTTCCTCGTATTCATGTATTTAAAGTACATTGCTGTTACAATGTCAAATGTTTGACTTTGGAATCACTACTATACTACTAAAAATGATATTCGGTATAAAAATATGATTCCACTGCTATACCAGTAAGAAAAGAAAACGCCAAACAACATGTTCAGTTGAACAAGCTCTTGACAATTGGCAGGGGAACGTGATATATTGGTTTGTCTTTTGTGGATGAAATAGTTCCATATTTCACCCCTGACACTAATTTGTCAAGTAGTTTGGGTGAAGTGAAATTGACTTGGTTATCTATCAAATGTTTTCAGTTGTAGAGAGGCTTGATGTCACTTGTAATTTCTGATACCAGAACCAAAATGCTAGTGTCTGCTGATAACACTCTTAACACACCAAAAGAGCCAGAAAGAGATGAGTTGATATAAAATAATTAGGGTGTACCACGCTGATAGCAGTACATATTTGCTCTTAGAAATAAATTTCACTAAGCACATTTTGCAATGCATTTACATCCCCTCCATCACAGCTACAATGGATTCCCTCATTTGTGAGCCATACAACAGTTTCCCCTGGGGCACTGCTTTTTGCGTTGTGAAGCTTAAGTCAATTCAGTGCACTGTAAGAGTTAGTAATGACATCTGAGACACATTGAAGTTCCACATATCGGCTCTTAAAACTCACTGCTTCATTTTTTGCAAGCATTTTCAAAGGAATTCTCTGACCTGCTCGTACAGATGTTAGACAGCTGCTTCAGAGGTGAAAGGTCAAGGCTCAAGATATTTAAGCAACAAAACACCACAAAACTTGGCATTTTGCCGCTTAGCTTGTAGCAGCTGTTTTCACTGCGTTAGTACTGTATACTGGCACGGAGTAATCGCGTGATGTGTTTCCACTTACACACAAAGTGTAACTATACAAGTACAGTAATTACATTTTTTTTGTCAATACTTTATCAGATTACAGCTTTCAATTTTTCTGTTATCTAATGCATTGTTTTTTGCCAAGCTAGTGGCTCTAGGGGTGACAGTGTCAGTACATTGGTCTAAAAATTTGGTCCAGGATGACATTTGAGCAACTACTGGTTGGATTGCCATGACATTTTCTACAGTCATGGTTCCCAGAGAATGAATCTCACTGACCATCATCACATCAAAATCTCAGACCCACAACCTGCTACACTACAAAGTCTCTTGATGTTTATGGAATCAATACAAAGTATTAGATCAGCACATCCAGTTATTTCATTTAGATAACTGCAGCCCGCTGTAAACAGACTGGCACTGTCTATTCTAATCCTTCCTTTGTGTATTTTGTACACCCTCTTTAACTGACAGAATTTGGTAAAAACAAAAATAGTATTGCATGTTTTTTTCTTTTCAACAATCACCTTATCTGAAAGCAGATTACCAATTCAGATACCAAGAATGCAAGTTGAAAGAAGACACATGCTTCATGTGAAAGCACACTTATATTCTGCATTCTAGTATGAAAATGGGACTGTTGCTGTAAGGGACTGTAATGACACCCTGTTATATAATAGGACAATTTGGAAGCTTCTACATGATTCTTTTGAACTAGTAGAAGAGACACCAAAGACAGAATAAGGGATATTGTGTCACAAACTGCATTGACACAGGTCGTGACAGTGATTTTTTTCCCATTGTGATAGATTTTACTGTTAAATATTTAATATGAACTCCACACATTCTGCCCTCGAAGGAGAACTTGTGGTGTCCCACTACCTGTGAGACTTTTTTCAGGTTAGATGACACATCATAACTGTATCAATACCACCGTTTAAACAACCTCAGTTATATGGTAGGAATACCTCATCAAAGCAAGGTTTACAGTGAAAATTGTTTGTCAAATTCACTAGCAAATCTATCCTACTTCATTCTGTGTGTGTGTGTGTGTGTGTGTGTGTGTGTGTGTGTGTGTGTGTGTGTGTGTGTGTGCGCGCCCCACAGTGTCTATCACAGGGTCATCTCTCTGTGTAAACCAGACTAGGCAAACATGCCTCTCTCCAACTCATTACATACATCCCCAGGGTTCCAATGAAAACTCAGTTCTCTCCTATTCCCATTCTACTCGGTCTTCTCTTTCTCTCCTGTCTCTCTATTTGGACTTTTTTTCAATATGTGATTCCCTTGATTGTTTTTATCTCTGTCTCTCTGAACAATTGTGTAAGAAGAATATACTGTAGGCTCCCATAGATGCTCATTTTAGTTCTCTGTTGTTTGTTAGTACAAATATTGTGCTATCACTGTTCTTATGTCATAAGGCAGGGTCGACTCACAGTAGGTAGACCACTGTGATAAGCCACCCACTGGCCATTTATTGCAGTTTTCCCACTTTCTAAACTCTTGTTTTTATAAGCAACCTCTTCTAGTGCTACTTGTTAATGCTGAAAAATATGGACAAAGATTTCTATTAGACTCTAAGGCAGACCTGCTTTGTTAATTTACCATGCTCTTTTTCTGATGACCAGTCACGCCAAGAGTAAAATATTCAACATGCAAATATTTCAAGAGTAACATTTCTACCAGAAAATAATTGTTCAAGGGCACCAGCTAGCTCAGGGCAACTAAGGTCTGCCCTTGAATCAATGTGATCACCTTAAAAAATTCAAATTACTGCACGGTTTTATGTTTTGTGTTGTTGTTGTAGATATCACAAATTTAAGGAATGGTAATGGTTTTGGCATTTCCCCTGCTGCAAGAACAATGAATACTAGATTCATTCCAAAATAATCTAACTTCTTTCTATATATGAGGACCACCCAGGTCAGTGTGACTACCCACCAACTTGTACTCACCAAACTCTCCTTCCCTCTCTTCTCCCACACTCTTAGAGAACACTCAAATTGGATTCAGATGTTTGATTCCAACCAGCACTGGCAGATCGCTTGCCTGCTCCAAGACTGCCTGCTTACACACAGAGCGAGAAGCAGATCACAGGCGTCAAGCCTTTGATACTACCATCCCTTAGAAATGTCAACAAGTGCCCGCCTATCTCCCTTCCTTTCACTCTATCTCTCTCACTAGCTGTCTTCCTCTCTTTCATTTCCAAACTAATTAGTT